ATATAAAACCAACAAATATCAAGACAACATCCAACACTTTGTATTGCAACATCAGTTGTGTAACTTGTTTCTTTAAGGTGAAAACTCTTAGAAACAACAAAGCGTTTTTCATTTCCTGAATCGGAAACTAATTTCAGCTTTGTGTGTTTCTTCTCATTATTTCTATCAATAACGTGTTTTCTTTGTGTCTCTTCCAGAGGAAAATAGACCTGGACCAGTTCTTCTGGGTCTCTTTCCTGTCCCCCCAAACCCAGCCGGTCCTGATCCTGGTTCTGATTTTAGTTTAAAATGAGTTTTATCATCAAGTAGTAATAAAACTGTAAGAAATGAAGGTCTGACCATCAGAATAAAGGTGCAATAGTTTGGTAACTAAAGAACAGCTGATCCTTTATTCCATTAGTGCCTGTGACTTTACATATTTTAAAATATAACATTGATCAAATATTKAAGAATAAAAAAATCACACCCGAGACGAAGAGTTGTTCAGAAATTCACATGGTCAGTAACAGGAAGTGATGTCAAAGGGGAATGTCTGAATGTAAACAAAGTGTTGCTACAACAACCAGTGCTGGAGAAAGTACACACTGTACTTAAGTAAAAGTACAAATAAACAAACAAAAATGTATTCTAGTAAAAAAACATTACCTTGGTTCCTTGAGTAAAAGTACTTGCTTTTAAAAATATTTAAGGTATTAAGTAAAAGTACTTGCTTAATGTATTTCCTAATGGTCTACAATATCATGAAGTGGGCCTACTGTATGTATATTTTAATGTATCAATGGTGTCATTTTAGTGAACAATGCTGCAGATATTTCACCCTCTGACACTGTTCACACTCTGACTTGATTTTGTGCATCATCACAGATTGTGACAACAGCTACAGAAGCTGTAAATTCATCACCTTCCTTYATCAAATCTCAACAAGTTGTTTTTTTCAAACCAGTTAACTTGAATAAGTATTTTAAATAAGGTCACAAGCGGCACATTCCTTCATGGTGGGATCCATTTTGGGCGTACTGCTACTGCTGATGCTCCAGCAGGTGATGCAGAATCGCTCCGCTTTTCTTGAAAGAGGGTCTAATGGTATATTTACTGCTTTGCCGTGGTTCAATGAACCAATTACAGCAATTCCCCTCTGACCAATGATAACCTTCAAACTAAAAAAAAAAAATCAATCAAACTAACAAAACAAAAAAAATTGTAATGCAACATGACATGGATGTAATTTGTAATTCAACACATTACAGAAATGCAATAGAGTAGAAAGAACAGATACAGTGGGGAAAATAAGTATTTAGTCAGTCACCAATNAAACAACCTGGTTTATAACTCAGCTGAGAAACAACAACAAACCACCGACTGTTCGCTTCTTCTTCGTGGGTTTAATTGCAGCAGGAAAACTCAGTGACGAAGCTTCAGCGCCACAAAGCTGCTTGGAGGATCACAACAAACAACTTCATTTATAAACAGAGAAATTTAAAGAATTAATCAGAATTAATTACTGATAATAGCTTCATACTCTTCTTATACTTTTACAAAGTGTTTGATTCTATTAATCACAATTTTATCTTCAGTTTCAGTCCAACTAATCACTTCATGAAGAAATATATTTTAAAACAATCGACCCCAACTGTAAATTTTGCAAAGAGCACCAAGAAACAATCAGTCATTTATTCTGGATATGTTGTATCACAAAAACATTTTGGAAGCAATGTAATAATTTTGTCATTTGTAATACTGACATTAAATTTTCATTAAGATATAAACACAGTATTTTTGGTTTTCATGGAAAGAATACTAACATTAACATATTTTTTTGCAAAATCCATATTCACAAATGTAAATTTTCTTCATCTTCACCTTTTTTTCCAGGTTTGATTAAAGAAATAAAATTATATTTATGCACTACCTCTAAAAGTACCAACAAAAAAGCTGTAAACACGTTTGAATGTTGTAGCTCTTTGAATGTGTTTAATTTATGATGCTTTTAATGTGCTAAATGTAGAAACCTACCCCCCTGGCAGAGTTAATTTTATTTTTGCTGTTCCTTGTTCTTGTTCTGTTTATATATTCGTAATTATATTGACAAGTGCAAAAAAATCTATCAATAAAAACAGACTGATACTGTTTAAAGTACTTTATTGCAATATTTATAAAATTTAGAACACAGTTTTACATTTTATAAATATTGTGTTAAAGTGCATTAAACAAAAATCAGTTTCTATGTATGTAAACTGTGAGGATCTCTTCAGTTTTGTTTTGTTTTGCTATACACAGAATGTAAAAGAGGAATAATAAATTTATTTTTGATAGAACTTAGGTTGATATTTCATCCTAAACATATGAAAATGTACAGTTATTACAAAAAAAAATTTTTTTGAAAAGATAACATTACTGAAATATAAAAAAACACCACAGAGATGAAGAGTTGTTGAGAAATTCATGTTCAGTAAAAGGAAGTGATGTCAAAGGGGAACGTCTGAATGTAAACAAAGCGTTGCTACAATAACTAACAACACAGACTGTAGAGATATATCTAGGGTTGGGTATGGAAAGGCTTTATTTCGATACCGGTGCTAAATGGACACTTTCAAAATGGTACCGATTCCTAAACAGTATTTAAATCGATACTTTAAAAATAAATAAATAAAACACACAGAGAGGTTTATGAATCAATGACTATTTCTGAGTCAAAGTAAAGCTTGAAATTGACGAACATATTAACTTAAAACCATTAACAATTTGTCTTTGCACCAAATATTCTGAAATCATTTGTTGTAGGTGGAAGTTTCTGCATCATATTTTGTAAAGTGACACCACACTTTGGACCGTTTTGCTTTCATCATCTCAACTATAATATATAATATATAACTGTTAACTGCAGCAGCACCTGTTAGCCCCTCTCCATGAACTCGGTTCTACTCTATTCACTTTGGGTCGGGTCGGATCAGCTCAGTGTCCGTGTGTCTCCACACAGTGGGTGTGATAATGTGCGGACCATCCGCAGCGGCTTCAACTGTTGTGTTAAAAATAATAATAAAATAAAATAGCCATTGTTGTCTTACCGTTCGGACTTCACTTTTATTTATTTATTTTCACGGTGCCGTTTAMCTAAGTGCTTGTGRAACCGTGGGCGGACAGTTTGTTTATCTGCTGAGCTTCGTCTCCTTCTCCTCTCTCCAGGAAGTGTTRATAAGTTCTGCCTTTTTCCAAAAGGCAGTTTTATTTCACCCTGTCTTCGTATCGTGCTGCYCGCTCGTATTCCTAAACAAAAAGCAGCTCACTCCAGAAGGAAATTTGCTGTCAGTCAATCCAAGAGTTAATCCACAGGCAGAATTCCAAGCCGAGACCGAGCCGAGTCGAACCGCATACAAGAGAGTCCGTGGAGATTGTGTGCTGAGGCTGTCAGTGTTAACAGTGAACACCAGAGGGCGCAATTAACAGCTATTTTTGAGGCACCGAAATAAAGCACAGAAATTAGAGTTGTGTTTCCGTCTGTGTACTACCGTGGATGTTCGCCCGGTGCCAAACTGGAAGTGAGTTTTGGTAGAATATTTTGAGTTTCTATCAAAAATGAAGAGTCAGAGTTTAAAAAATGTTATAATAAAAACCTAGTGTGCCCCTTTGATGTCACTTCCTGTTCTTCTCCTGGCTGTAAAACCTCTTCTAGATCATTTGGTGAAACATTTGCTCCATCTGTGACAGAAGAACATCAGCTCAGCCTCTGTGAACTCTCATGTGACTTTGAAGATGAGAACTTCTGTAAAAATGTTTCCCACAGGTTTCACAAGAAAACTGCTTCTCTCCTGTGTGGATCCTCATGTGACGATTCAGATCTGACTGATGTTTAAAACTTTTTCCACAAGTTTCACAAGAAAATGTTTTTTCACCTGTGTGGACCCTGGTGTGTCTGACTAAGGCACAATATTTCAAGGTCATTTTCCCACAGGTGGGACAACAATACATCAGTTCATCAGAGTCCTGGTTCCAGACTCTGTGGACCTTCACATGACAGATCTGCAGTGATTTCTTTAAAAATATTTCTCCACAGATTACACAAGGAAACAACCTCTCAGATGTTGCTGATTGGTCTGCTTGGTTACCATGACGACCCTCTGTGTGATCCATCTTCTCATCTGACCCTGAATCCTGATCCTGGTCCTCAGGTCCAGCAGAACTCTGAGAGATGAGCTGCTCCTTGTCTGGTTCTGGTTCACTTTCTTCATATAAAACAGTCACCAGAACCGGATAAGTCTCCTGCTTCAGGTGGAGCTGATCTTCCTCCTGATTGGTGCAGAGTCCCTCATCCTCTTCTTTGATCTGTGGAGGTTCTGGTTCCTCTTGGTCCTCAAACTGTGGAGGTTCAGGTTCCTCAAACTGTGGAGGTTCTGGTTCCTCAAACGGTGGAGGTCCTGGTTCCTCAAACTGTGGAGGTTCTGGTTCCTCAAACTGTGGAGGTTCTGGTTCCTCCTGGTCCAGGCTGGAGTTCCTCTCC